TCTGTCTTCCACACCCCAGTCCATCAACAAACTCTCAGTTCTGTCTTCTGAGGCCAAGTCTCATCTCTTCCTCTGTACATGCCTTCTGTTACCTCACTAACCTGCTTTATGTTTCCAAAAACATCACCTGATGTTTTAAAATTATGATCCTCTCCTATGCTAGACGTGAAACTCTACAAAATTAGGGACTTTAGTTAGTCCATTGCCTATGCAGGTACCTGACACTTACTAAGTGGTCAGTGAATGAACGAATGAGGGTACGTACATGGCTGTATTTTAGGGAGTGTCCCACTTCCCGAAGCAAAGTGTAGCATCTAAAGCTAACGGTTAGCAGGTTTTTTTTCCAGGTAAAACTTGGCCTCATTTAAATATGAAAGCATTTGCTAACACATAGATACCTCCTCTGTCATTAATAGGATGGTTGGTCAGGTTTAGTAAAATGTTTTAAAGAAACATTTGAGCAGTTTTAAAATGCAAAATGTGAATGTCTACTTTGGTGCCTCAAGATTTACTGTTTGACCAAAATATATTTAAAATTAAGGTACAAAAATAAATATTTGTTTATTGGCTGTGAATTATTTCCATCCCAAGGAATCTTGCCTTTCTGATCTACACCTTCAAATGCTTTACTTAGCTGTCTTGCTTATACTCAAGTTGCATTCTGCAAATCTGCTGAGAGAATTACAGCAAATGCATTTGCCATCAGTCTAAAATTCTGACTGTGCCTTTCTGAACTGCCCAAGGTTAATGGGACGATGTGGCAGGAAGAGGACCTGCTTAATGTAGAGTGGGTAAGAATGTCAGCCCTGTCTCTCACAGGTGCAGGCGAATGGAGAGCCCTTCAGAGGAGCAGTACGGGCCAGTGGCCAACCCCTATGACTACAGGAGGCTCCTGCGCAAAACCTCCCAAAGAAGGCGCCTCCTCCAGCAGTTGTAGCCACTGAGCAGCCACCATCAGAAACCTCTGAAGCCTGCAGGATTATGGCACCACAGCAGGGTGGAGTGGAGGGACCTGTGCTGGCGCCTGTTAGCACTGGACTTTGATTTCTGCTGGGGCTGCCTGCTGCACTGTTGCCTCAAAGTGGGCTGTCTAACATGCTCTGAAAGAAGCGAATTTGAACCTTTGTGGGACTCTGGGCCCCACACCATGCAGCTCCTGTACTCTCTTCAATCACTATCCCACCAGTTAGGGCACCTTTGTCCAGGTTTCCTAAAGTATCTCTTTGTCCATTTGTTTGCAACTTCTGTGGGTCCCACCTGTACCTAAACTGTCACCAGCTCCTTCCATTTTTTTTTTTTTTTTTTGGATGACTTCAGAGACACCTTCTGTCTTGCAAACAGCTTTCTAAGACCTTGGGGATCCTGGAGAGTGGATTGAGTTTACTAGAGCAAAGCCTGGGTGAGGCAGGGAAGAGCATTGAAGATGAAATCCATCTCAAACTTGAGCTTTCCCTTTCTTTGATTGTTAAGATTGCTAAATAAAGGAAGTGCCCAGGAAAATCTGTAGTTTGCTCCAGTGGTCAGCCCTTATTCCTATGGGCCAGGCTTTGGTTACAGATATGGGAGGGTCTGGGAGGGGGTTAGGAGACTGCCTGCAGTCTCCATCAGCAAACTCCTACCCCCTAGCCTCCATACAGAAACATACGGTCTGCCCCATACATGTCACACAAACACATCTTGAAATTAATCTCCAGATAACACGTACACACACATGCATGCCTTCCCAACCATTGTGGCTTCCTTTAGTGTGGAAAAATACTGGTCTCATCGTGGAGCAGAACTGTACGATTTTAGATTGTGCTGCTCTTCAGTTTTGAGGCAGTCTGTACTGCTCCAAATTTGGAGATATTTAAGAGGGAAGCTTAGCAGGTAGACAGAGCTTTGTATTTGTCCATCAACTGCAACTTCTTTTAAAAACTGCTTTGAGCCTTTCAGTGGATGACACTTCAGGGTCTATGCAGCCCAAAGAAGGTGGGAAAAGGTGGTGAAATTGTTCCGTGGGCAACTGAATTGGAAGAAAGGTTCTGTTCATACTGGAGCTTGTCTTTCTGCAGGCGCCCTGAGCTTCAGAGACCCAGGACCCAGCCAGAAGACTAAGAAAGGATTTGAGAAGTGAGAGCATCGGCAGCAGGTTGATAACTTGCCCCCCAGTTGTAATATTCTTCCAGAGAAGTAGCTCTAAAAGCTCCCCAGGGAAGGACTTAGACCTCTAGCTGTGGCAGGACTAACCCCCGAATCCAGGTGCACCCCAGGCCCGCTCCTTGCCTAGGTTAGCGCCTTACCCGCCCTCGGGGTGAATCATCCCCTCCCCAGCCCTGCCTTCTAGGAAATCAGGTTCCACAGAAGGGCATAGGAGAAGGATGGAGTCCCAGTACCCGAGGTAGCCCAGCCTCCTCCACCTCTCCTGTCTGTCCACCCTCCACCAGGTGACCCGTGGTGGTGAGGAGCACACCGCCACTGGGCTGTGAGGTCTGCCATTTAGTCCAGGCTTCCTGGCAGCCCGATCTTCCATCCCTGGATGCAAAACCAGGGACCTCTCCAGAAACTCCTCATTCCTCCCTCCAAGTAAAACCCCAGCCACACATGCAACGTACAGTTTTTAAGTGAGACTGGAAACAAGAAAAGCCAGCATTTGATGAAAAGTTGCAGTTTTTGTTCTTATTTTCTTTTTCATTTCTTTGGGGTTTCCCCCCTTTCTTCCCATTCATCCCTCCTGCTTTTTCCCTACACAAGGGAAAATTCACACCAGATACAGTATTTTTCTTCAACTGGGCCTGCCATTCAATCTCTGGGTAAACTGTGGACAAGAAATAGATCATTAGAGGAAACCATTCTCTGCAGAGCTCCGAATGTTAGTCTCTCTTTTCCCTCCATCAATGAAGGAAGGGCCTTGGAAAGCTTCCCCCCCTGCCCCAGCTCGTCTTCACTCCCATTGGGTGGCTGCCTCTTGGACTAATGACTGTAATTATTACCTCCCGGCCCTCTTTTGTTAATGCCAACCCCGAGCCTAAGGGGGGAGGGGGAGCGACACGCGCTCATCAGAGAAGAGAAATTCTTTACAAAGCAAATTACGGTCTAGGGAGGGCTGGCATTAAGGAAAAACAAACCAGACCTACATTTGCATCTGAAATAGCGACTAGTTAAATTGTTTAAAATTTGTAAAAACCATCATCAGATCTAAAGTACCTGGAGCAGCAAAATTTAATAGTGTTTAAAAAGTAGCAGCAGTTAAAGGCACTGTCACAACAAGGACAAAAAAAAAAAAACGAAATTCAGGTGCAGCGATTTTGATTTTCCTCTTGTTTTATTTCTTCTGGAGTCTTTTGCGCGTGCATGTGTTAAACATTTATTTTTAAGACTATTTTCAACCATTGAAATAAATATATATTTATTTATTCTGCACCCCCGCCTGCTGCCTTACAGCGAAATATGGTATTTGCAGGATTTGGTTTTGATTTAAACAAAGAACCAGGCAGGCTGAGTCCTCTGCGCCTGAGGCTGGAGGTTCTGAGTTTCTCTTCTGGCAGTTCAGGCTGCCGGACCTGGATTTGTTGCCGTTGTCACCTGCAGCATCTGAGCTAGGAAGACTGCGAAGAGCCTGAGCTGGCACCTAGGCTCTTGACCCCAGTGCTCCCGCAATATGGTCCGGGCTTCAGAACAGAGCTTTGCAGGACCCCGAACACTCGTCCCCTGCTCCCACCTGCCGAAACAATGGGAATCTGTGGCTCCTCTGAGATCTCCCGAACTCTGGCATGTGGAAAAAGCCTTGTGGAGAGAACTGACCAAAGGATGGTACACCAGAGGACACAAATTTGGGCCTGTACGAGGCCACGCCTGGCCCCACGAAGCCCCTCGCCAGCCAGGGTCAAGGAATGGGAGATGTGATAGTCTGCGGGTCTCTGCTTTTGCAGCAGTGCTGACTGACTGGTCCAGGAGTAAGAACAGCTTGTGAATACAATTAAGTGTAAGAATACAATAAGTGTAAGAACAGCTTGTGAATACAATGGAGAAGGCAGGCAGGCCAAGGGCTGGGAGGCTGGTGCGTGCAGCCCTCTCCTCTTTCTCTCTGTCTCTGCAAGTGGAAGCGGCAAGGTGCAGAAGTAGATCGCTACTGCCTAGAGAAGGAATGCGAACTCCAGAACCCCAAATCCTCAGGGGGCCATCCCAGTGTTTAACAGCTTTTAGAGACAGGAAATCATCAGAAAAGATTCCAACCTTCTCCCCCTGTCTTTAGAAAAGGACGAATTCCTTCCTACCAGTCTTCAAAGATGGCAGTCTAGAGCCCCCCTCATAAAGATTCCCTTGGGGCCAGGAAAGAGTGAGTGGTCGATGGAGGCCCCAAACAAAGGTCCCAGCAGGCAGAGCCTTCTCCCCTTCACGCCAGGATTTGAGAAAGCCAAATTGCTTATTTGGAAACCTCTTGAGCCTCTCCCATGCAATCTAATTCAAGTCGCATGGAAGCTGCAGGCTTTTCCACAGCTCTGCAGGCCAAGGTCACTAAATGACCAGATCCCACCCCTCTTCCGCAGTCAGATCTGCAGGCGCTGACTGGCTCCTCTACCCCGCGCTCCCTTCCCAGACGTTTCTGTCATTCTCCCCGGCCCGAGGTCCTCGGTGAAAGACTCCAGCGTGGATTTTAATTGCCTCAATCAGCAGTGTTCCTCCCCAGCCGTCAATCATAACCTGGACGGCGGGTGCATGGATTCAGCGCCTAGCTGCAGGGCAGTCGTGCACCCCGCGGCCGAGGCGGCCCCATAGGCTGGCACTGGGTCCCCCAGGAGTTGCTCTGGGCCCACCAGCGTGTGGCTGCTCTTCCCCCTACTGTGCCCTCCCCAAGCACCTAAACTGTTAAGATTCAGGCCAGACAGCTGGGATCTCGAAGGCGCTGCGACCTCGGCACCTGCTTGGACGGAGGCGGCCCAGGAGCCGTGCTCCCTTCCCGCAGCCGAAGCCAGACCTCAAACAATAAACACGACAATCGAAGCTCGCGCCAAACTCCTCCAGGTCACCCTGCCTGCCTCGCGAAGTCTGCCTGATCCGCCTCTTGCTGAGGCCAGCACCCATCGCGGCGCAGCACCCTGGACAGCGCACCTGGACCTCGGTGCGGCTCTCCCGGGGCGCTCCCGCCTCCCGCCTCCTCCCTCTGACTCCATCCCGCTCCCGCCCACAGTCTGCTTGGCACCCTCGCGGCTCTGCCGCCTCCCTCGCTCCCTCCCACTTCCCCTCCGCCACCCCTCACCCGTCCCCGCCGGGCTCCTCGCCCTCAAAGACTCCCGGCGCTCTGCGCGTCCCAGTCTCCGGGCTGCGGACCCTCCGGCTCGGTCCCTATCTCCTCTGCGCGGCTTCCTGAGCATCGCCACAGCTCGAAGCCCCAGCTCCGACACACGCGCGCACACGCAAACACGCGTGTCCCGTCCCGGGGTCTCCCACTGCTCACACGCGCGCGGCGAAGCCAGATCGGTGGCCGGCAGCCGCAGTCGGAGGAGCGCTCCGCCTCGCGCCGCCCATGGCCTCCCCAGGCTCCGGCTTCTGGTCCTTCGGGTCTGAGGATGGCTCTGCGGACCCCGAGAACCCCAGCACAGGTAGGAGACGGCCCGGCAGCGGCGGCGGGGTTTGCAGGACCCCGGGGGGACGCGGAGGCTTCGCCCGGTAACGGAGAACTTCGCGTCTCTCCCCGCACTCGGGGAAAGCGTTGGCGACCCAGCCTTTGTCCCCTGGAAAGGCCCCCGAAGTCGCGGGCTCCTCCGCCGGGGGCGAGGCGGGTTCCTCGAAGACAGTCCCCGAAAGGACAAAACAGACTCGGTCCCCGCGGGCGACTGTGCTGTGTGGTCCCCGGCCCGGGACTGAGCGGGGTGGAGAAGGGGAGAGTGGGGCGTGGAGACAATTTCCGGCCTGGAAATGGAGTGAGAATCTAGGAAAACCCAGCGCGCGAGGGCGGGGGGTCCGCCGGTCCGGACGCACTGGAGGGGAGCGCAGGGGCCGCGGCGCGCTCGCCCGGGTCAGCAGCCAACGCCGACCGCTGGCCCGGTTCCGTCCCGCGCGGCCCCGCACACCGGCTCGGGGTCGCCGGTCACACGCCACGAAATGTGCGCGTGCCCTTCCGCCCCGCTGCCCACCTGCCTTCCTTTGCAGCGAGAGTCTGGTGCCAGGTGGCCCAGAAGTTCACCGGCGGCATCGGAAACAAGCTGAGCGGTGAGTGCGGGGCAGGGAGGGCGGGGAGGGGCGGCCTCAGGTACCGAGCACGAGCCCGAGCCCGGGATGCAGCCGGGTCGGCGCGGGGTCCCCGCTTCCCGGCGGCGGCGAGGCCGGAGAGGGTCTGGGCTCGACGGGCGGCTGACCGGCCGGTGCTCGCTGTCCTTGTCCAGCCCTGCTCTACGGAGACGCGGACAAGCCCGCCGACAGCGGCGAGAGCGTGGCCCCGCGGGGCTCTGCCCGGAAAGTCGCCTGCACCTGCAACCAGAAACCCTGCAGCTGCCGCAGCGCGAAGGTCAACTACGCCTTTCTGCACTCAACAGGTAAGGGCGCAGCGCGGTCCCGGGGCCCTGCCCGCCCACCTGCCCGCCCACCTGCCGGCCGCCAGCGCTCCGCGAACCAGGGGAGGGTGCCGCCGCTGGAACCCGAAGCCCAGCGGGACGCGGGGCCGCCCGCCCCGTGTACTGCGTGGCCGTGCAGCCCTCCCAGCTGCAGGTGGCGAGGCGTGCATGTGCCCGGGCTGGCCTTGGCTTCCCCGGGTCTTGGGGCGCTGGGGGGAACATAGTATCCTGGAGGCCTGCTAGGGAATTCGGAATCGCTGGGGTATTTTAGGGCTCCAGATGAGATCGCAAGATTAATTTGTTGCTCCAAATTACTAGAAGAAGGATTCTACTCACCTTAGTTCTGTGTGCTGAATTTACTCTTCAGCGCACTCACACTGTCTTCCCAAACTCGCGTGCACACAGACACAGACACACGCGCAAACAGACACAACGCACTGGAAACAGCGGATCTGCAACAGGCCAGAAATTCTGAATTTTAGTGTTCCATTTTGGCTGGCTTCCTCCAAGACAAATGTTTCTCAAACATTTTTGACGGAAAGTATCTCCTTAAACGTTTAGGATGATTCACTGAAAAAAATACTGAGAACAAACTCCTGTGAAATCGATGAAAGGAGGCATTCTCTTTACTTGGTGGAGATCGGGAAGAAGCAAACAATACCTTACGAACTGAAATGTTGGAATTCATTTTGGTAAAAAGAATTCACTCCCCTGTCTTGAAAAATACTTCCCCTTTATAGGAAATACTGTGCGTTTCCAAAAGCTATCTTTTCATACAAAGTAGAATCTCTCCATTCAAAGGGTCATTGCCTGCACATATCCACAGTAAAATTTAAAATGTGACATTTTCATTCCATGCTTTAGATCTGCTGCCAGCATGTGACGGAGAAAGGCCCACTTTGGCATTTTTGCAAGATGTTATGGACATTTTGCTTCAGTATGTGGTGAAGACTTTCGATAGATCAACCAAAGTCATTGATTTTCATTACCCTAATGAGCTTCTTCAAGAGTATAATTGGGAACTGGCAGATCAACCACAAAATTTGGAGGAAATTTTGAAGCATTGCCAAACAACTCTAAAATATGCAATTAAAACAGGTATTGTCCATTCAAAAATAATAAAGTGTTTTCTGAAACAATTTTTATTTTTTTTCTATAATAATGTTTTCTGTTTTGTAATTACTGGCATATTCAAAATTATAAAATTATTTTCATTATTTAAAATGGCCTTTAACAGAAAGAATGAAGTGAAAAGTACCTTCTCTTATTGTTAATGCACTGGAAATCGATAATACCAGAAACATTATCTTAGTAGAAATAATCAGGTTGCATTTGGCCACGGAGTTTATCCATTGGTGTAGAAGCAACTGTTTGTCAGTAGAGGCCAGTAGATGAGACCCAAAATCGAGATAGAAAGGGCATATGGAAATGAAAGCTCAAAACACAGAATCCAAACAAAAGCCAGAATTCCAGTGTTTTGCTAGTAATATCCTGGGCATCGAACGAGTCAGAACCAGACTAACACCACTCTACGTATCACTGAGCTGGAGGAACAGGGTTGTAGCATTGTCTCAAATGGCCAGCACTTCTGACCTAAATTTCAGGATCTCTGTCTCTGTCTCTCTCTTTCTCTCTTTCCATAATATAGACTACTTTAGCAATCTAACCATGTCATATAAGATGTGTGTCCTTCAGAGCTATTGTGTATGCAAGATAAAAAAAAAAAAAGCGAAAGGGGAAAATCCGATATCCTTAGGGGCACATTTTTAAAAACCTATTTCATGGTCTATTGGTTTTTCACAGTATTCTTATACTCTGTTCATTTCATAGTGCTGGGTATAATATTTATTTGGGTGCATTCCAAGCTTTCTCTTTATCTACATGAAGTCAATCATTCAACTATCCAGGCCCTGATTTACTCTGCTTTTTTCTACATTGTCCCTAATCATCCTGACAATGCATGGTCCAGCATCTCATCAAAGCAATAAAAACAAATATGAGTTCATTTCTGATTTTGTATATTTAAACTGATCTGTAGCTTTTAAAAGATTTGCTAGCAAATACAAATATGAAACATTATGTAAACATTAGAGGAAACAGCATATTTTGTGCAGCAGTTTTTACTGATGAATTGTCAGTACATACTGGTCTCATTGACACAAATATTTTTAAATGTTTGCTGTGAGATTTTTAGCTTCTTGTTTTCCATATTCTTTGTATCAGCAGAGAAGAAAGGCATGCATAGCATAAGATTTGGGATATTGATTTATTGTATTATTGTCCACTTTTGAAACACAGTAGGCTGAGAGCCAGGTACATAGGCAGAAATTTAACTTAATTTAAACTCAGTCTGCAGAGTATGATTTTAAAGATTTACTAGAGGTCATCCTCAGTTAATGTCCCTGCAGAACCCACAGGAGGTACAGACCTGGAATTAAAAGATGTTCCTCTCCTTTCACCACCAGGTTTGTAGGTACAAACCTGAATGATGTTTTAATTCATTTTTCTTGGGCTTATTTCCCTTATCTAATATCTAAATATACAAATTACAAATTGCAGCCTATTACTTATATTGCTACCAAGCCAAAAAGAATCCACAGAAATATTTGCAACTTCATCCTGAAAAGCTGGTGCTCTTTGAAAAACAGTTGAAAGGACTGAGATAATCCTTTAAATGAAATAGTTCTGTCAGTGAAATAGTTCTGTCTATCGATGTCCTGTTTAGCATCAGGAAAAGAGGGGCCTATTCAATTAGATTTAGCCATAATTGTGAAATTCTTGTCTAGCGTTGGTCTATTTCATTTTATTTAAAGTACAGCTAAAAATATGATGGATCAGGTTGGATTTCTAAGTAAAGCATCTTAATATTTTCAGTATCTCAATATTATTTATAATGTATTTGGTCTTCTAGCCTTCTCTCTCCAAATAGCATTTCAGAAAGATAACAGCAGGTGCCTTTTCTTCTCAGCAAACAAGTTTATAGATTTTTATGCCCTGTCCTGTTTGTCAAATAGTACTATTTAGGGTCTGTTGAAGTAATTACCATTCCTGGGCCATCCTACATTTTTATGATCCTTGGGAGATTACTTTATAAAATCCTACTTATCGCTTGTATCCAAGAGAGTCCTTAACCTAATTTCTACTTGGACTCCATGCTTAGAAGTGAGGGTGTAGGGAACTACTAAAAAAGACCCTTTGTGTATTGCTAAAATTACTTTGTAAAGAAATGTTGAAACAGGAAACTTCAGGAAATGTTAAGATACTGAAAGTGTTTGCAGGGTTAATTGGATTACCTGGTGATTGTGGTGGCTGGGGAGAGGGCGAAGGGAGGGGGCAAATGGATGGGGGTTAATGTAGTCTTAAATCTCTAATCATCAAAGGGGATTACAGCATTGATAAATTAAGCTATCCTTGTGTCGATTGCCAGTAATAAAGAATCATTCAGTTGCCAGGGCTTCTGGCTCCTCCTCAAGGGATGTGAGCATCAAGTCAGAGTTACCAGAGACTGGCTGTCTCACTCACAGAGTCTGCACACCCTCTTGGGCTCATTTGATGATCTTTGGGGGCAGTTCCAGTGGCTGTAGCAGCCCTCATCTCCTGTCTCCTACTGCCGTCCCTGTGCTGTGCAGACTGAATAGCTAGCCATTCCCCTAGGCAGCACAATGAACAACAGCTCACAGGCTCTGCCCAGTGTGCCCAGGGCTGCTGGACAGCTCTCAGGCTCCCAGGCAGGCCTCCCTCTTTCTGGATTTGCTTACAGCCTGTAGGGGCCACTGGTGGAGAGCAAATGTGACTAGGGGAACATTTCTGCCAAACCAAAATGACATGCTGTCCCAACCTGGCAAACTCCCTCCATATTTTCACCCCATTATCAGTGAAGAAAAACTTTGAGGCAGGAGAGATAGAGATGAAATCGCAAATCCAGTTCAAGTGCATACACAGAGAGAAACCCAGCAAGGGAAGCATCAAACTTGTTTCCTCTGTTTACCAAAAGTGCTCATCAGAATGAGTCAGCCATCTGATGTCCTGGGGCAGAGCACACGCCTTGGAATTCCTCTTCCTGTACAAACCTTGAAATTGGCAGAGCTTTTCATGTCAAAATTTGGTTAGAGTAAATATTAACAGGTACCCCTAGAAAGTGCATAAATTGGAGGAGTAGATTATGGATAGATTTGTTAATCCTTATTAATTTCCTCACTTTAAAAAATGGCTTAGGGACAGAAATGAAGAGGCATCAGGAGGGAGAGGCTGGCTGCGATTTCAGCTGCGAGCTCTAATGAAATGAGGAGTCAATGAGGCAGAGAGGAATGGAGGGCTGTCCAGATGTCATCGGCAGCAGCATGAGAGGACTTCATGCTTTTCTTGAATGGGTGAACTGATAGACTCGGCATCAAAGGGCCTGGCAAAGGGCAGAAAAGATAGACGGCCATGGTGTAAGGCCATAAAGGAGGTCATAAAACAACGCTGCAGAATGGGCAAGATGCACTCAGATCGGAACGCTCTAAGACATGCTCCCCCCAGCTCCTGTCTTTTCCCAGGGCCAACTCTCCAGCCACATGCCTGGTGCTGATAAGAGAGCATTTCGGTCTGGAGGAGCTTGGGCTGGCTTTTGTATCCACTCTCCCCACTGCATCCCTTTATCTTGTCTTGCCTTGCTAGTGATGAGAGACAATCACACCCCCAGGCTTCCCACAGGCATCCAGTAAGTGACAGGTACCTTTTATCAGATGCTATTTCCATAATTGTCCACCTTCCAAAAATTTTGTTGCTAGGCAAAGCACAGATTTATTGATAGGCTTTTATGCGACAGGATGAGGAGACACAATTCTAATGAGATATTTATAATCACATTTTAAATAGCAGTCCCAGGAGCATGTGAATGTCAATCCATTTAGAGAATTTTAGAGAAATTTAGAAGTTAATTAGATAGGCCCCGCTAATGGACCCGTCGTCCATCGAATGTATCTCCTGTATCTTGTTGACAAGACAGTAACATTGATAGAGTACAGCTTTATTTGAAATCTCAACTGCGAGGGAGCACTATTGTTTATAATAAATATTCAGACAGAGAAAAATGGATAAGAATTAGCTCTGTCCATGCCATCTTTAGACACTCATCACCTTTTTGACTCCAGGGAAAATCACTCTGCAGAGTGTCCTATTTTATCATTTTTTCCCTGTCTTTTGTAATCATCAGCCATTTGTCACCAATATTATTATGAATGTTGGCATGTCACGGTATGACTGATTTCCAGAACAACCAACAGAGAAGGACTTTTAACAGCACGAATGCGAACAAGTAACTTGTCTTAATTGTTTGGGCTTCCAACAGCATTTTAGTTTTGCAAATATATCAAAAGCGTGGCAGGATACGATCTACTGTCCAGATTTCAAGCTAAAACAAGGAGATTTTTACAATGTGTTTTAAAAAATACTATAACCCAAAGTAGCTGCTTCAGTTAGAGGTAGTGTTCTCTGTGTCTTAATGCACTGTGTTTTGTGTATGTCTGGTTTCCAAATATACACTTCCTATTCCTGAAGGATCTTTCAAGGTTCTTTGGCTAGAAAAATCATGTGTGAGAAGAGTGCATTTTCACTGATGTAATCCTGATTCTGCTGCTCCGTATCATTCAGGGCATCCTAGATATTTCAATCAGCTTTCCACTGGGTTGGATATGGTTGGATTGGCCGCAGACTGGCTGACATCAACAGCAAACACTAACATGTAAGCAGCTGAACATGTCTCTGTATAATCCAGAATACTTAGTAGTAAAACTGCATAATGTTTACCTCTTAGGTGAAAATATATTTTAATTAAATGGCTCCTAAAATAGTGATTCCAACTTCAGAATTACATAACTGTTCACGCTTGTTTGATATAAAATAGACCCAATATATTTTTGGTGCATTAAATTATCCAAAATTTTTAAAATACAAAAGAGTCTCTTTGGGCATATTAAATTCACAATGATGTGTATCATAAAAGGGAAAACTGAAATAAATGTTGTCTTTTATGTAGTATTACTCTAGAATGCTCTTTATCAAATATGATAAACCACTATGCCAATAACTAAAGCTCTTGACTTTAGAAAATGAGTAAACTTTTCAGAAGGTCTTTTAGGAATGTAATGTAACATCTGTGAGCATAAGTTCTGAGAAATCACTCTATATTGTAATGACAAGTTATTCCTGTAAGTTACATACATAAACTGTGGCCATTTCTACACTTCAGGTTCACCTATGAGATTGCTCCTGTGTTTGTGCTTTTGGAATATGTCACACTGAAGAAGATGAGAGAAATCATTGGCTGGCCAGGAGGCTCTGGTGATGGAATATTTTCTCCTGGTATAATGATATTTCAACTTTTCTATGTTTTTCTTATATGCATGATATGCCTTGCTATGAACCTAAGAAAATCACATATCTAGTCCATATTTCAGATTAAGTTGCAGAAGCTATGTGTTGATCAGAAAAATAATTTTAACTAAGGGCTCATGACCATGAATCCTCCATTCTAACTACTCCAACCTCAAATTAGTTATTTGTGTCCTAGACAAGCATAAACAGATGGTATTTACTTAGTATTCCAGTGATCCTGCACATATATATGTGTGTGTATATGCATGTGTGTTAATATATATGTATATTCTGTGATATTATTCCTAAAACTGGTGAAAGGAAAAGGGTAGCCTCATTGAATAAATCATTCTCTCTTTAAGAGTACATAACAAGGCAGATGGACTCAATAATAATGTATGTATGGCTCTGGGCTATGAAATAACAAAGCTGACTTACACTCACTTCAAGGTGGGCAGCAACCACCTGGGAGATAATTTCTTAGAGCTGAAAAAAAGAGCAGTGATTCCTTCAAGAGATTTCTCATTCCTTCTCTTCTTTATCATTTCACTTAATCTTTCCCATCTTGCCTTTTATTACCAGCCATCCCTCCTAAACTCCATTATTTACACCTCTCCCAGTCCAGAGCAACTAATTGGAAAGAAAATCTGTGCCCTGGGTTATGGGTGACCTTGGTTTCACAAAGAGAAGAAACAGGATTTAGGAAGGCAGTGGGAGAGAGAATCACTGACCCAAAAAAGATGCTAGTGAGCAGACCAGCCTAATCAGCCACAGGAGAGGCGGCCATCAGGGTGTCAAGAGAGCCCACTGAACAGGCCAGAGCCTGACCTGCCTTTGCAAATCCAGAGACAAGTAGATGATGAGAATGGAGAAGGAGGAAAGCAGAGAAAGAAGTGATAAACCAGTGGCAGTGGCTTCAAGTCTAGGGTTTAAATAGCCTTCTCTTCCTGCTCAGGAGTGCACAGCATTTAGCTGGAGGACGCCTAGGTAGTAAACAAGGCATGGGAGGGAAAGGACGGAAGCATCATATTTAACTCAGTGTGAGGACACGTCCTTCAGTGTATCTTCCCCTTTCTCTGCTCCCTCCCTCCACTCTGGCCTCTTTAAGAAGAACACACAGAGCTGCAGTTCCAAAGTGGGAGCGTTTTTGTTGAACCCCACCCTGACCCCCAGCCCCTAACTCTGGGCAATGTCTATAGACATTTTTGCTTGTCACACTAGGAAGGGGAATGCTGCTTACCACTAGTGACTAGAGGCACAGTTGATGGCAATATCCTATGAGCCCATACCATGAGGAATTACATAGCCCAAAGGGTCAGTGAGTGCCAAGATTCAGAAACCATGAGCTAGCGTGAAAGTTTCTTTGTTGCCAGCCTTTTGGATATAAATTCTCACAATGAACTCAACAGAATGGATTCTGCTTGTCCTGAGTGTAACGGTGCACAGAGGTAGGAACTGCCCTCATTCTCACTGGGGAGGAAGCCAAGATCTAGGTGATAATGGCTTAGTAGAGGTGCCCGTCTAGGTCGGAATGCAAGGCTCCTGAGGCAAAGAGCATAACTTCACATGGGCACCCAGCTTGGCATGGAGCCCTCTGCTCCTCAGCTACCAGAGCACTCACCTTACGGCTGGCCCTGCGTATGCCTCAGGGAGGGGGTGCACCTTCACTGTGGCTCACAGTCTCACATCTTTCATGCCAACATTTATACTGATGATAATCAGCTTTTTCCTAGGTACTCAAAGTCTTAAGCTTCCTCTGCAAACTTAGGTAAAGCTCGCTTTTTTTTTTTTAATTTCCAAATGAAAACCAACTTGTAAGACAAGGACCCTTGGATCCCCAGCACTGCAACAAACAAAACCCAAAACCCACAAACCTTATCATATGAAATCCCAGACAGTGTCAAGACAACACAGGAAAGTAATTCCACATGGATTAAAATTAGTTGAATGTTTCCCAGTAATTTTGAGGATTTTGTTAACTAATACAATTCTACGTCATTGGTATTTTCAGGAGGAAAGAATTATTTTGAGAAGGTTTGGTAGTATGATGCGATGAACGGTGTATCTTTCATTTCATTAAAAAATATTGATTGACAGCCCAGATCATTAACACCAGCTTGTCTCTATCCAAGCTTGCGGCACTGTAGGAACTGAAATGAAAAGAATTGCCAACATCTTACAAGCTTTATGCAGAATGACCACACTCAAAAGCAGAAAGAAAAGACAAATCTGGAGCTTTGTTTTCGCAGTAATGGGACTTGAACTCAGGGCTTTGCACTGAGCTACATCCCTAGACTTGGTGGGTGGAGCCGGGGGAAGAGGGGTGGAAAGGCAAGAGCTTGCTAAATTTCCCAGGCTGGACTTACACTTGCAGTCCTTGGCCTCAGCTTCCCAGTGCGCTGAGGTTACAGGCGTGTGCCACCACATCAACATAAACATTTTCTTCAAAGCTGTCCAGACAAGGGCAGAATTAATGGCAGTTCCCCTTAGCGCCTGAGGCGGAGTTGGAAGATGCTCTCCATCCTGTAGTCTGTGTCTCATCTGAACTGTTTCAGGTAGAGCCTTTGAGCCCAAGGCTTCTTTTCAAGGGACAGCCAATAATATTTTTTTTTCTGTGTCTGAGAAGGGCTGTGAATCTGTGGAAATAAGTAGACTGCTTGCATGTGAAACTTTAACCGTGAGCGGGAAAACTAACTGTGTGCTGCTGTGCCCTGCAGGGGGCGCCATCTCCAACATGTACGCCATGCTGCTGGCGCGCTACAAGATGTTCCCTGAGGTCAAGGAGAAGGGCATGGCTGCCGTGCCCCGGCTCGTCGCCTTCACGTCGGAGCACGTACGTCTTTCCCTCTTTTCGCGGTCTAAGGTTGTATGTGGCAAAGTCCAGGAGGCCGGAAGTGTTTCATCCTCAGGGGTTCTCTTTTTCGGAGGACACTTCTTGGTAGAAAAGAAAGGGAGGGAACGGCTGGGAGGTCAGAGGAGGGCCTCCTTGCTTGTCTGAAGAGTCAGGGACCCCTCGGGGAGGAGGCCCAGTGATTACACCTCCATTCCTCCCCTTGCTTTTCTGTAACAGCACTGTGCGCTGGGCTTGGGGAGGGAGCCAGAACGCAGGGCGACTGAACACACAGGCCCACCACGGTCCCTAAACTCATTGGTTCCCTGTTGACAGATCCTTATGATTAAAAATTCAGTCAAATGACCAGATACATATGCTGGCCAGGCCAAGGCAGGGAGCCTGGTCTTTGTTGTTGAGCACGATGGCATAGAACTTGGTGGGTTTTTCTTGGTTTTCAAAGAGTTTGTGCCATTCCTCCTAGTGCTACCTTGACCTTGGGAAATAGCAACCCGACCTATTCGCCTAGCCACAGCTTTACTGGCTTCCTCCCTTAGGCTGGGATAAAGAAGCAAATGAGCCACATCCACACCTCAGCTATTTGTGCAATGCCTCAGTTTCAGTCTCTTCTGCCACACACCCCCCAGTCAGCCAGAGCTCTCTGTGCCTGGATGTTACCTGCTATGTAATTCACAAGACTATTAGTCATGCTCTCAGGCTCAGAGCATCTGTAAAATACTTGCCTCAAAGAAGGCCAAGAGACCTTCTGAGAGCAGCCGGGAGATAGGAGACGGGGTGGGGTCAGCCAGGAGACTAAAGGGTCCTGTAAAGGGACATCAGTTGGGAAAAGAAGGGTCTCAGATCTCACTACAGATTTTCTTTTTCCTGTTTTAAGTAAGGTGCATATTTCTGTGTATTCACAAAAAGTAAGCGAAGGGCAAGTGCAGGTTGGAAACTACTAGCTGTGGCTCACTACTATAGCAGCAGTCACAGGGTGAAGGAAACTAATGACTGTGAAAACACTGTTTTGAGCATCTTGTTGTAGGTTATATTTTGATGTTCTGTGAGTTGTGAAACACTTCTCCTCATCTTAGAAGGGTCAAATTTAACAAAAAACCACAGTCTGAGATGACCTACTGTTTTTCCCTTTTATTGCTACTAGAACAAAGCACGAACTTACAGGTTTAAAGCAGCACAAATTCATTATCTTGTACACTGGAGGTCAGGAATTGGAAGAAACAGGGCTGTGCTCCTCCTGAACCCTCTGAAGGAACTCTCTTCCCTTGTCTTCACCAGCTTCTAGAGTCTGCCTGCTTTTCTCAGCCCATGTCACCCTCCTCCAGCCCAGCTAAAGAGCATCTCTGATCTTAAAAATCAACCTCCACCCTGGCCACACTGTCTTCTCCAGCTCTGATCTCCTCCCTCCACTTTCACACACAAAGACCCTAATGATTATACTGGGCATAGCTGGATTATCAGGATTATCTCCCATCTCAGTACTTTTTTTCTTTTCTTTTTTTTTTTTTGAAAACACAAATACATTTTTTTTTATTTAAGGAGAAAAAGAAAAAAACAGAAAAGGGGTATAAGTAATACAATATTTAAAAAATAAACAGTAAGAAATCACTAGTTAATAGATTACATATTCTCATCTTAGAAACAGTTGTTCAAGTTACAAAATTGAAGCATATAAAGTGGACTTTCAGTGAGAGTGCAAACAGTTTTGTTCAATGATCAAAAAAAAAAAAACTCAGTAATTTGGTTATCTATCTTATACACTTAAACATATATGCAGTTATAACCTGTAGAGCACTTTCTTTTCTTTTCTTTTGTACAATGACAATTACACATTTTGGGTTTTATTACTCCCACAGTTCTTATTACTTTTTTTAAAGAGAGTAAAACCGAATGCGACATATCAGAACAGAGTCAGTCAAATCAAAAGGATGGACATAATAGATAATGTAAAAACAAAATACAACAGTGGTTACCATACTGCCTCTTGTTATTTGAAGAAGAATTGGCAGTTATAATAAAATTGAACTAAACAGTAAAGAATAAAACCAAAGCATTGGAGACATTACGGGACTTTAAAAGAAAATAATAGTCAACCGGAATGGGCATCATAATGATTCTTATTGTCTTCACAGTTTTGCCTATACTTTCAAACTTGGTACTATCAAGCAAAGCAAAATTAGGGGAAAATAGTCAAAACAAGATGGTGAGGGCAATAGAGGATTTCAAATCAAGTTAATAGGAAACCAAAGTAGGTTACTATAATGTATCCTGATATTTTTATTTATTTTTCCCTTAATTAAAAAGATAAAAATAAAAAAGTAAATAATTTTTTTTAAAAAGGAGGGGATTGAGATAAAAGAGGGCATAACAACAGAACAGTGCAGGTCAAAACATAACCATTTAAGCAAAATAGTGTTTCACCACAAGATATCCTGACATAAAAATAGTTACCATAGTGTCTCTTTCCTTGAAATCTTTGTGTATAACTTTATATACTGTAGCACCAAACATATCAAGACACTATAAAACCATTAAATAGAATGACATTATTACAGGGTATTTAGAACCAACTAACAGAAAATGATCAATGGTTTCTGTATAATCTTGTCTATAAAAGTTTTTACTCATATTATCGTATATAATAAAATCCAATAAGATACAACCTTTTAAGACCGATGTAGACAGAAGAATACAAGTTTGATGGGACTTCAAAGCCAGATGATACTAAATCAGCACTAGCTATTATGATGTCTTGTTTTCTCTAAAATGGCTGTTCCTACCATCCAACCTTCTCTGCCTCATTTCTGTTGAGCTCTTTTTCTGTCGCTTGTTGTCAGTTTGTCTTCTTCATTTCACTTTCTGCTCCATTCACTGTGGCCTCTCTGCCACTATTTCTGGAATCTTGGTATTTTCCTTTTTTAGACTATCCTGCAGTATTCTCTGTAGAGTTGAATTGGTGGTTACATATTCCCCTAGTTCCTCTTTATCCTGGAAGCACCTTGTTTTTCCATCAATTTCTAGGGACAGTTGTGCAGGATATATCAATCTTGACTGGAGGTTATTATCTTTCAAAGCTTGGATTATTTCCCCCTACGCTCTTCGTGATTTGATGGTTTGTGCCAAGAAGTCTGCTGTAATTCCGGTGGGTGTTCTCTTGTAAGTGATCTGTTTCTTGTCTCTGATGGCTTTTAATGTTCTGTTCTTATATTGGATTTCTGGAATTTTGATTATTATATGCCTGGGTGTAGCTCTGTTTGGCTTTTAGGTGGCTGGGGTCCTGTATGCTTCATACAACTGAGTATCTTTACCTTTTGCTAAATTAGGGAAATTCTCTTGGATTATTTCTGTGAATAGCTTTTGTAGTCCATTTGTTTGTGTCCCTACTTCTTCTTTTATATTCTTAATTCTTAAGTTATAGATCCTCTTATCATCTTCTAGCCTTTGTATTGTTGCTCTTTGTTTTTTTTTTTTTTGTTATTTTTTAAGAAGTTTTTCATTTCAAGCTCCCATATTACAAATCTGCCCTCCAGTTCAGATAATCTATCCTTAGTTTCTTTCAAGCTGTTATGCCAGTTTTCGATAGAGTTTTTAGTTTCCTGGTAATCGCTTTGAACCTGCTTCACGTATTCTATGTTTTCTCTATTTTCTCCATCAAACAATTCTCCCCTTTCTTTCTGTTCTTCCATCCCACCATCTGTTTTTTTCTTGGGCGGTGCTTAGCATTTCTCTAACTATTCTACTTATATCTTGCTTCAGGTTGTTAATAACTTCATTCCTGAACTTGTCTATGAGGCTCTGGAGATAGCGCTTTATGTCTATTGGTGCCATGTCTGATATTGCATGTTTCTCAGGATTAGGGGCCGAGGACCCTTTCTTGTTGCTCCCTCTTCCCATATTTTTTGTTCCTTTTATACAAGCGTATATAGGAGGCCCAGTTTCTTTCTTTGTCGGTTACAGTTTGTTTGAATTGCACCGGCTAGGTGTTCCCGCCCACTGCTGTGTACCAGGGAGACACAGACCTGGGCAGCCTATGCTGGGCCCACCCCTCCAGGTCAACCTACTGAAGGCTTCACTGCTAGGGTGCACCTCCAGGCACTGGGACCTGGTTTGGGCTAGCCTACTGGGTCTTAGTCAGTGGCGTCACGCAGGCCAGGCACTCCCCACCAATCTCGCTTGAGAGGGGATTATGTGACTGAAGTCACTGCAGCATCCTGTTCCGAGTAGTCTGCTGGGTCCCAGCATGTCCTTTGCTGAAACCTCCCTCTCTATGGAAGGATCCCCGATCTGCTCACTCACCGCAGGTCGATGCAGGGCTCCCGGCCAGTCCCACTCTCAACTCCATTCATGGCTTCCCATTCTCAGAGCTTTCGCGCCTCTCTCCTTGCCATGCCGACTGGGATGCAGCAGCGGCTGCAGGAAATTCAAATCGCAGCTTCCAGTGGCACAGGGTCCACCTTCCGCATTGAGACCTTATCTGTTCCTGTTATATCACTGGTATTGTGTTTCCAGCTGGTTTCTCTTAGTTTAGTTTGTTCCTGGGTCGGCAAAGTATATCTCCCCCTGCTTAGGACTTCTCGCCCAGCACCATTCCTGGATTTTAAGTGCGGTTTCTCAGAGAGCCTCCGAAGCTGCTGCTATCTATCCGCCATGTTCTCCCAGAAGCACAAATACATTTTACCAGAACCCGGACTCTGCGTCTGCCAGAGGGTCGCCGGCACCCAGGCCCACAGAGGAAACTGCAGCCCTGGGTCTCTCGCCGCTGGATGCCGCCGAGCTTCCTCATCTCAGTACCTTTAACTCAATTATATCCATCTAGCCTCTTTTGCCATGTAGCACAAAGTGTTCACTGCTTTCGGGGATGAGGGTATGGAATTGCTTGCAGTGGAGGAGTCTGTTACTCAGCCTACCACACCTATTACCACAAGTTTCATTTCTTAGCTTCTTTGAGGGGAAAAATTAACGATACAGTTTTTCATCTCAGTTAC